AAAAAAAAAAAAAAAACGGTCCCATGAAGGACTGGAAAACCATTTTTTATACTGTTCTTTCTCACTTAAAGAACTGCGTAAAGATCAAGGACAAATTGTAGTGTTGTATAACAACTACTCTTTTATTTAAGTGATTATTTACTTACCTGGAATTCTTTAAAGTAAATTGTAGATAAACTAGCTCACTAAGCAACATTATCAGTTCTCAACAGTTTTTAAAAACAACATTAAATTAAACCACATTTGATAATGGAAAATATCAGAAGACTAATATTCTTAGGTTAGCATGAGTTATCTTAAACCATGCTAAAATTAAGTGATTCACAGTTACTGTTCATAACAACATAATAAGAAATGCATGTTTGATTACAAAGTCCCACACAGAAATACTCTCCCTTGTTTGAAAGAGAATTTCAACAAACACCTTTACCAGAAATATATTTCTATAGGTGACATTTCAGATGATAAAACTTTCAAAGCAAGGTTCTTTTCGCTCGCAAAGGTCAGAACAGTTCTCCTTCCTCTGAAAACCTGCTGTGCCATTAAAGTCCTGCACGTACACTGCTCACATCTCAGCCAAGTGCTGTGTCATGGAAAACTGTTGTTTATTTTTAAGCCTTACCTTCAGATAGGATCCATAATATTTGGTTACATAGGGACTGTCACACTGACTCAGCACTGTGATTTCTTGTTGAATGTCCTCTATCTCATCTTCAGCTTCTTCCAGATCAATGATTTTTATGGCAACTACTTTCTGAGTCCGATTGTCAATGCCTTTGAACACCTCACCAAAAGAGCCCTTTCCAATTTTCTCCAGTTTTGTAAAAAGCTCTTCTGGGTCTGCTTTTAGGTTCTGTAGGAGAGAAGGAAAGAAGGGAAACTTCAATAACTCACAGAACTGGGACTGCTTTTTTTCTTTTATTCACCTAGATCAATTTTTCAAGGACTGATTGGTCTTCAACAGAAGTTCCACTTTTCTTCCCACCCTCCCCTGCATATTTTCTAAATTTAAGTTGATATATATTAAAGCAGGTTAACTAGCTCTGTCACATAACAGGAAAACAACTTTATACCCTAACTTAATTGTCTTGTAACAGGCCATGTTTTAAAGTCCAACAAATACAGTCCTATGCAGCTTTACTTAGAGCTACTACCTTGGCCTAAATATCTGAACCAGATCTCAGGAAACAATAAGCAACCTGTTTTCCTCTGTCATGGAAATGCTTTACCTTGAAATAGCTTCTAAAAGCCCTTAACCGTGAACATGACTAGTTGAAAATACACAGTGAACATTTTGGGGACTCCAATATCTGTCCTAACATCAACCTGGCCAGAGAGAGAGGTCTGTCAACAACTGAGATTTCAAATGGGCAGCAAAACCTGTCATCCCCAGGGGGTGTGTCACAAACTGAGGGTCAGAACTGACATTTAGCAGGAGGCCTACGGATCACATCCCACCATGAGCAACCGCCCTGCCCGAAGCCAGGGGCACCAGTATGCAACCCCTAGAGTGACAGGACACTGGGAGCTGCCTCCCAGACAGACACACCTTCTCTGAAAAACACTGCACACGTGCGCAAGGGGACGCCTTGCAAAGGCTGATTTTGCAAGCCCACCAGTTCTTCAAAGAAGCTGAGGTATTACAGAAAAAGGAGTAAGGGGAGGAAGAAGGGCTGAAAAGGAGGAAGAACACAATCAGAGGCCCAGAAAGAGGAGGCATCACATTGGGGGAACCTGAAGGGTCACAGGCACAGAATTCCAGCAGCCCTGAGTGAAATGAGCTTGTGGGCTGACCAGACGCTAACCACAACCTTGCTTTCCAAGGTAAAACACATGGAGTTCCTAGCAGTGCTTTTCAAGAACTGCTGACACCCAGCCAGCCTATGTCCAACGTGGTAGCCCACACAGAGGGTGAGCCGCTGGGAAACCAGGCACCCCAATAACCACATGCTGACGTGAGGGGTGTCACTGAGGGACGTGAACACAGGCCCCACTTTGAGACTGCACACTGAACCGAGTAAAAGCTCACAAAAATCCGCCAACCCCATCAGTAAAAATGAGCAAAGTGAGTGAGGAATGCGTGCTGGGGTTGGTTACCCGGAACCCAGACACAGAGACCGTGTCTGTTTCCAGCAGCAAGAAACTCTCCTGTTCTCACGCCCTTTCCTTACCTCCTTCCCTGTCGCGGGAGGGCAGGAGGCCCACCTCTTCTTTAAGGCCAACCCCAAAGGCTGGGCCTTTGAATCCATCCTCTCCTGCAGGATGTGGCTGCAGCAGTAACCCTCTGCCACTCAGCCCTCTGCTGCCTCTCTGCCCTTGGCAAAGCTCAGGGCTCTCCGATTTAGAAAAACAAAAACACCTTACTTCACTGGTCACCCTCCTCCCTTTCAAGTTCCCTGAATGTCGTCATGTTGTCCGACCTGCTGGGGACCCTGCCCTCGCGGTCACTGCCACGGTCTGGCTCCCGCTCAGCCACCACCCCTGCCGCACGGAGGGTCTCATCCTCCTCCAAGAAGCCCTCCGCGCAAGCTGTCCAGTCCTCGACATCTACAGCCCGCTCTCCACTCATCTTCCAAGCCCAGTTCCAGAAGAGCCTCCACCTACGCTAGACCTCACTACATTCATTCCCCTGACAGTGCCATCCCAGGCCTCCTGTTTCTCTACTTGTCATATGATTTCATGGCTTGGGACCGTTTTCCCCCAGCCTGGCTGGTCAGAATTACCTGGCACACTCGAGAGATCCCAAAACACACTCAGTCACACATGGCGCTCCATAATCCACATTTTTCAGAGATGTTGATTCTAATGAATAGTCACCTTTGAGGAAATGCTGTTTTAAATTATAGTGTAGAGTGTGATTTCAAATTGCTAGCTCTGGCCCTGCCTTTTGAGTTTTAATTCCTAGAATCAATTACTTACTAGGTATCTCTTTCTACCTGAACATCTCAAGCTCGATCTATAGGAACTGGATTTGTCGTTTGAACCCCTGCTGAAAGCGGCGGTTCTCCCACAGAGCACTGCCTCCTTTGCTAGACTATCAGCGCGGGGAATTGGGCGTCCATGCCATATTCACTTCCACACCCGTGTCTCTGGGCACAGTGACAGATGGTCAGTAAATGTCTCCTGAGTAGTAAGAAAACCCCAGCCATACGCTGGTGCAAACAGGATCCAGGGCGGACACTGTGAAGAATATCCTAATTCAGAGAGCACAGTGCCTGGGGGAGGAAGAATGGGGAGGACAGCACCTCTGGCTAGGGAGGGATGAGATGGCTCAAGCTGTTTACACCCTCAGGAGCAGTGATTCTCAGGTCTTCAGAGCATGAGAATCACCTGGCAGGCTTGTTAGACTACTACCGACGGCCTGGCCCCACCCCTGGGATCTGCTGCGGTACATCTGGCACGGGGCCCATGAACGCCCAGGCGACGCAGATGCCGCCGGGCAGGGTCCACACTGAAAGCCACTGTTCAGAGACCTGGGGGACACACAAGGCAACCTTGACGAGCCAACACGGCTCTAAAAGGGGGGTGGGTTTTAGTGTGCTAACCTGACCCCCCTTCGTTAACTGCCCCATTCCCATACTAAGAAATCAGTGGCAGTTCCTTTTTGAGACTTAATAAAAAACAAAGCCAACAAGAATTTAGCCAAACTCCTATAGTGTTCGAGATGACAGTGAAAGAGATTGTCACAAAAGTAACTGCCACTCAATCACACCTCTGTGTTCATACCCCTTTGCAATGTGATTGTGGCATTCCTCCCAGCAAGAAAGAGTCTATGTCCCATTCCCTGAATCTGGGCTGGCCTTAGGATTTCCTGTGATGGTGTGTTTTTCCAAGGTTAAGCCTTAAGAGGCCCTGTGGCTTTGGCCTCTGCTCCCCTTGAATGCCTCCATCAACAAGTAAAGCGGCCTGGGCTGCCTGTTGGAGCGGCCACATAAAAAACCAAGGCACTAGCCACACACCTGGGCCAACTGCAGACACCCAGTGTCCTCCTGTCCCTGCTGAGCACAGGCAGCACCTCTCCAGCTGACCGCAGGCACAAGAGTGAGCCCAAGTGAGACTGCAGAAAACCCCCAGTCAACCCAAGCACACAGGAGAAATACTGAATCATTACTGCTTTAGGCCACTAAGCTCCGGGGTGATCTGTTACCAAAAAACAGGCAGCAGAATTCAAGGGAGAGCACAGATCACTGACCACTGCCGGAAAAGTGTCCAATCCTGGGGAGGAGGGCAAGTGCAGAGATGTTCCACACTCTGGAGAGCAGTGTTTCCTTTTTAATAAACTGCCTGCCCTTCCTTTGCCTAGTCTAAGGCAGCTGTTTTCCCAAAGCTCTGCCAACTGCCCCCAAGTCCTCTTCCCACAGCCTGCACCGGTAAAGCAAGCACAGGGGCTCCGTCCCCGCCGGCCCCAGTACGCTGTGGCATTCCACACTGCCACTGTGTGAGCAGCTGCGACGAGCTAAAAGCTGGCCCCAGCGAGAAGGGGAACACCTGCTAGTACAGGGACAGCAGGGCCTTCGCAAGATGGGCTTTCTGCCCTTTGGCAACTCGGGCTCATGCTCATCACTACGCGGCGTAGCCTCACGGCCGTGAGAGAACCAATGCCAACAATGACCTACTTCGAGGAACTTCGAGATTCCGCTGCCAGTCTGTGCACTGAGGAAAGCAGAGCTCCTTGGGAGGAAAGGTGCCATTTTGCCAGCCATGTTGAGAATTTTCTTTTCAGAAAGGTTTATGCTGAGCTAAGCACAGGTCATCATCACAGATAAGGCAGGCCGGCGGGAGCCTCACCTCACCAGGCGGCCTGCCGGAGTCCCCAACGAGCGCCAGCAGAAGTCAGGGCACACAGCAGCTCAGCCTCCTCTGAGGCAGTGGGTGGTCAGCACCCCCACCACCACCACATTCACCTCTCCTTGGTCAAGGAGGCTGGGGGTGGGAGGGATGGGCTTGGGTGCTGCCTGCTCAGATCCCAGACTCACGGCTCAAAAATAACAATCAGATGCCCAATGCAACTTCCCACTCAGGCAGTTGAAGATCATTTCAAGGCAAAGAAGGAAGATCGGGCTTCTCACGATGAAGAGGTATGAATCTCACTTACATGCTTATTTATGTGACCCCATAAGCCACACAACAAGTCTTAGTTCCCTCCTCAGAGGGAAGGGTTAAGAGGGCTGAGAAATAATAGGAAGAAAGGCATCTCTGTGGATGAATAAATGCAACTGGCAGTAAGCAGGCAGCGCCCCCCACCAGCAGCGGCTGACACTTCCAATTTCCAGCGTAATGTCTGCAGTAGCAGGTGCTCAATCCTGACATATTCTCTCTTCACAGCCTCAAAACCCTCACCATCCATATCGAGAAACAGACCAACCTCCCCTGGGAGCCTCAGGATTAAGTGAAAATGGCACTTAGCTCCCCTTCTGGTGGCCTTACCATCTCATCTTCTTCACCGCCCTTTCACGATGACACCCCCAGGCTATCTGACTCTATAAACTTCAGTCAGCTAAATTCTGGGCCTTCCTAAACACTCACACCTTGTCTTGTTTATTTTAATTACAAGACTGAGGGAAACCATGGCACTTGTTATACTATCATATTACGGTCAGGATCTTAAAAAACCGACCAAAGTAAGTGGAAGGTGCACCCCAGAGGCAAGGCCATGCATGGGTGAAGGCTCTGAAAATGCCCAAAGCCCCTTCCCAGCCAACCCGGGGAAAACTTCACTGGGCTCGGGGATTGTGCCAAGAGCCAAAAAGCCAGGGAAAGTGCTCCAGATGAATCTAGAATCAATGGTTTCACAGCAGTTTCTCATGATTACATGGAAGTTTCCAGACAGCCAGCTACCCAATAGCCTAGAAC